ATGTTTGGCCATTGGACAGAGAAGGGCCTAAACACATGTGGAAAGAAATTACCTTGATGAACCTAGTTGCATGGAGATGAGGCACTGGGAATTCTATCACTAGGGACTCAGGTTTCTGGGCTCCAGTACCTCCACTGGTCAATACCGCAAGCCACAGGCCCCACCTTGTACCCTTGGGTTCCTGTTTGGGGCTGGAGTCTGCTCAGGTGGCTGCTCTGCGTCATCACCTGTGGGTACTGATGTGGTCACTGCATACTTCTCACACAACCACCCAGATACCATCATCAGGCAGGAGGTGTGGGGGTGGGGATGCTTCATAGAAAGCCTTCTCAGATGAAGCACTATAAAACCAGAGTGGGACTCAGGTCTCAGAGCCCACCCACACTTCCTTCCTCTCCTGGGCATAAAAACAGAGCACAGAGAAACACCAGCAGCTCCGACCTGAGCAGTCTTCCTGGGAAGATGCAGCCACCCCTGCTCGTGCTCCTGCTGGCCTTTTTCCTGCTCCCCTCGGCAGAGGCAGGTGAGTAACCATCCCCACCTTCACAGGCCCAACCCATCCCACAGTGGGCACAGACCTCCTGGTCCTTCTGCACATCCCAGATCCAGCTCTCCACCAGGAATGCTCTGAACCCCAGCTCCCATCCCATCTCAGACCCACACACATGATGCTGGATGAGCTACACGCAGAAATGACAGGACAGAAGCCTATTCTCAAGAAAAGCTGGGGGGCACAATGCCCTCCCCAGGCCCTACCTGTGCCAGGTGGAGAGTGGAACTTCCTAGAAGTGCATGGCAGAGGCTGGGAAACTGCAGAGGGCAGAGCAGTCCTGGCCTCCATGTCTGTGATGAGACAGGTGCTGTCCTCAGGGTCTGCTTAGGAGAGAAGCCCAGAGCTCAGCAGACCCCACAGTTGGTGGGGTCACTGTCCCCAGAAGACTGCTGTTTCCTCTGCTCCATCTCAAGGCCCCTCAGTCCCTTTCTCCAGCTCTACTTTTATCCCCAGGCCTTCAGCAGGTCCTCTCCTTAAAGGATGAGCCAGTGAGGTTGGCAGCCCCAAACTTCTCTGCTTTCCAGAATCCCACAGCACTGGCCTTACCAACCCTCGTCCAGAGGCCCATTGGGAGCCATCCCTCCAAGCAGCCACAAACACTTACCTGGTATCTCCCCACGTGTCAGCATCTAGATCCCTAAACTTAAGTCCTGGACACTGCAAAGCACACTGCCCTGGACATCACAGCACCACAGGGGCCTCAGAAGCTCACCCAACACCAAGTGAAGTCAGGAGAGGAATTTTCAGGAGCCTGCAGGCCTTCCCTGTTCCTGAGACCTGTATTCTCACCAGCTATATGGCAGGCAAAGTCACAGTCCCAGCCTGTTGCTGTTCCCTTTTCCAGATGAGAAAGTGGAGGCCCCTCACTACCTACTCACTACCTACTCCCAGCTCTATGCCATCCTAGGCTCCCAAGTGGCCAGCCATATGACTCATCAAGCCAATGCCTGCCTGGTGCACCTGATGGGTGGGGGTGAGGAGAGGGGGGCACCACAAAAGTACAACAGAATTTTCCTTCAGGGGAGATCATTGGGGGACATGAAGCCAAGCCCCACTCCAGACCCTACATGGCCTTACTTCGCATTCGAGATGAGGAGGAAATGTCCAGGTGTGGTGGTGTCCTTGTGGGAAAGAACTTTGTTCTGACAGCTGCTCACTGCAATGGACGGTAAGAGAACGCAACCAGGCTACAGCTTCTGAAACCCCTAGAGGGACCATGCCCTTCATTCCAGGAGCTGCAGCCCAGGGCAGCTCCCCAGGCTCCTGGTAACTCAAGCCCAAGAGACCTCATCAGAGGAGCCATCAGAGAACATGACCGGGCAATGAGAGCCTGAGCAATAGGACAGGTAAGCTTTGGGCTCAGAGGGTCAGAGGTGACAGCAAGGAACACAATTGAGAAGAGAACAACCACACTGGCCAAATAAAGCAGCGGTGGACTATGAACACATGCATTAGGGTCAAAATGCAAATGCAAGTAATTTCATGACATTTCCTGGGGGCAACAGAGAGCTCCCAGCTCCCTGACCTCAGTGTCATTGAGAAGCAGATTCACCAAGTCCCTGGCCCCTATGCCCTGCACCAGCTATCACCTGCCATTCATAATCCCTGGGATAGATCTCTTTCCCTCACTGGCAAACTCACCCACTCTGTTCTCTGTGCAGCTCAATCACAGTCACCCTGGGTGCCCACAACATCGAAAAGCAGGAGAAGACCCAGCAGAAGATCCCAGTGAAAACAGCCTTCCCACACCCAGACTATGATGACAGTACACTCTCCAATGACATCATGTTACTGCAGGTGAGGAAACCTCCTGCTGCATTTGCAGTTCTGAGGTCTCATTGTTTCTCTTCTGACTGTGACCTGTCCCTTCTTTTCCTCCCACTCCAGTCACCTGACTAGTCCCAGTAACTCAGGGGTCCCATCATGGTTTCCAGGCCCAGAGGCACTGGCTGACCTGGGCTCCCTTGCCTCCTCCCCACCAGCTGGTAAGAAACATCAAGCAAACTGATGCTGTGAAGCCCCTCGAACTGCCCACGGGCAAGAACAGGTTGAGGCCAGGACAGAAGTGCACTGTGGCCGGCTGGGGCCGGGTCACACTGAAGGGCCCTTGCTCAAAGACTCTGCAGGAGGTACAGCTGACCCTGCAAAATGATTCAGAGTGTGAAAAAGTCTTCGACGATTACAACAGGACCATTCAACTCTGTGTGGGGGACTCAAAAAAGAAGTCTTCATTTAAGGTGATACTGAACATCTGCTTAGCTTGGCTATGGGAAGAGGGATGTTTGGGTACAGACTGGGACCTGAGGAAAGAGGGGAATCCTTCACCCTCTAGGCTATGATCTTTCTCCCCAAGAAGAAAAGAGGAGAGCCACCAGAGCTGAGAGGAATAGGCCCTATGAGACGCTACAAGGGCCTATGGTCACTCTAAACATGGTGCTCCTCCAGATGGTGAATCTGTAATACTAGCCCAAGCTGGGACAGAGCAGTTAGATCACTATTCCCTGGGTGTGCAGTAGTTATACCTGGTGGCTTCCAAGGTAAGCGGCTCCTTCTCCATGCCAAGTGTCAGCCCCACCTGCCGGCTCTCGGGTCCTTACACTGTAGGCTGCAGCCACAGTACTGCAGCACCTTCATAGCCAGAGGATCAGGGACCTGGGGGAGCAGAGGGAGCCACCACCGGGGGTGAAGTGAAGCAGTGACAATGTCCAGGCTGAGGGGACCACAGGGACCTGCCTGCCTGCTTATCTCCAAGGCGGAAACCATGCAAGGCAGCCTTCTCAGAGAGGGGCTTGGGATGAGGGGTCGAGGGCAGGGCCAGGAGAAGTTACTCAGTCATCCCTCTCTCTATCCACAGGGGGACTCCGGGGGGCCTCTCCTGTGTGAAAATAAGATCCAAGGAATTGTCTCTAATGGACCTGAAGATGGGACACCCCCTGAGGTCTACACCAAAGTTGCCAGTTTCCTTCCCTGGATAAAGGAAACCATGGAAAGCCTCCAACTTCAAGACCCAGAACATCTTCTCTGGAGCTAATCCAGGACCACACTGTGGGGAGGGAGGTGGTGCCAACAACCAAATAAATGACTCTCAGATGATTTGTTTATTCTTTGACCCTAATTCACAGGCACTAGCTCTGTGCTCAGAAGGCCAATAGCACAATTCTTCTCTGTTCTACTTCCTCCTCTTCCACTTCCCCCACCAACCCCAAAACCTCGTGCAAAGATATTCCCAGATCCTTCTTGGCCACACCTGCACTTTCAGGGCCAGCCCTTCTGCCAGGACAGAGAGGAGCGACATTAGGAGAAAACATGAATCTCTCAGGCCCTGGGCTCAGTGTGAAGGTCTTACTTCCTCCTCTTTGTTACGAGCTTGGAGGAAAGGACTAGCACGTAAGTGCTGGGCATCAAGCAGGCACAGCCTGGGCTGCAGCTCAGGGACATGGTCTCAACACACTGGGGAGAGGGGAGCCCTCCTGAGCAGGACATTGTTCTCCAGCAACCAGGGGGTGGCAGGGTTGGGGTCTGGGGGCTGGTGAGCAGAGACAGGGGTGGAGGAGGGAGGGAAGTCCTGAGAAGCTCCTCATTCCCTCCTGGGCTGAATTTCTCTCCCTGCCCTTTTCTGCCCTCCTCTGAGCTCAGGGCCTAGCTTGGCCTCCAGTCTCCTGGCTGCCCCTCCTTCTCATCCCTGCTGACCACTGAGCATCCTCAGAATCCACCAACCCTGCACCCCACAGACCGCACTGGTCTGAGCTCCCACTTCTGCATATCCCTCCCACCGAGGACACCTAGAGTGCCCAGGTTCAAGCAGTGCCTGGTCAATGAGCTGCCACCCAGCTTATGCCCTGGCACAGGGTTACCCCATGTGTTGGCCCCATGCAGGGCCCTGGAGGACAGGGCAACAGGGTGTCTGCAGAACACCTGGCCCCATCTCTCACTGGGCAGAGCCAGCTCCACCCTCACATCTAGTCCAGTGTCCCCACCATGTTCTCAGAATCCACTGACTCCTGGTCACTCAGGAGCCTTAGTCCCCTGCAGCCTGTTCCTCACTGCTGGCCTCAAGGCTCAGGCTGTGTGGTGACCACCATGGGCTCTACCTACCTTTTGAGTTAGAAAGGGCTGCTCTCTGCAGTAGGACTGGAAAGCACAGTTTTTTCATCAATCAATGAACAAATGCTGATTGTGCACCTACCACGTGCCAGGAATTGGGAGTGTACAGTGAACATAATACAGGTTCTGACACCTGAACACAAGTGAAACTGACAGTGTTGACTTTTATCTGAATGGAATTTCCTCTCCCTCCTTCACATGAACCCACATTGCCCAAGACCTTGACAACACCGCGGTGTGACACACTCAGAGAGGGCTGTATGTGATAAAGGCCAGAGAACCCTGGGCTCAGAAGACCAGGAGGAAGCACCAGCAGCTCTGACCTGGGCAGCTTCCTGAGGAGATGCAGCCACTTCTGCTCCTGATGGCCTTTCTTCTGGCTCCCAAGGCGCAGGTAGGTGAGTGACTGACCCCCAGCAGAAGCCCAATGCCATTCAGTACTGGCACAGCCCTGCTCACATGCTACACTCAGACACGTCTGGCCCTGGACCATCCCCAGGTGCTTTTTCAAATCTAGATATTACCTCCCTCAAAGACCAGCAAGACTAATGCTGAGTGACAGAAGCAGGGATGGCAGGGCAGAGGGCTGCTCCTGAGGAGGGCCCATGGGTGCTCTCCTGTCCCTTCCCATCTGAAAAGTGGGCTCTTTTGCAAAGGCATCTGGAAGAAGGTTGGATGCTCAAAATGAGAAATAATTCCATATGAAATCGCATCTTGGCAAAGGGGACAGGCTTCAGTAATCAAAGCAAGGTCCATAACATTCTAACTCAATGTCTTAAAATCTATCCTCAATCTCTACACCCTTCTCCAAGCTTTGCAAAGGAGCTGGGGATCCAGTTGGTCCCAGAGTTGGTGGCATCCTGGTCCTCTGAGGCTGGATGAGTCTCTAGTTCTCTCAGGTAATTTTTTAGTCCCAATGTTCTGAATAGTACAAACCAGCAGGAGCTCCATGAGTCTGGGAACAAAAAGGGAGAGAGAACCAGGGATCCTGAGGGTAAGAATTTTCCATGCTCTACAGGCACTAAACTGCTTGTTCCAGACACAAATCCCATTGCCCACATGCATGGCTGCAACAGGAATGAAGGGATCAGGACTGCTCTTCTCTTTGTCAGAGGGGATATCTCAGTCTCAAGGGTCAAGTCACGTACCAAGCAAGGAATGTTGCCCAAGGAACTTGCAGAATGTCTTATTGGTTATGGCTGATGACTGCAGACATCACTATCTGCCTCCTCACCTGCCCTGTCCTTTCCAGTGTCCTCTCTCCAGCCTCTGGCTCATGGGCACAAGCAGGCACAGGTAGATTTTCTTGCAGTGAAATCATCGGGGGTCATGAGGTCAAGCCTTACTCTGGTCCCTACAAGGCATTTCTTCGGATCAGGATTTCAGACAGAAAAAGATGTGGGGGTTTCCTTGTGTGTGAGGACTTTGTGCTGACTGCAGCTCACTGCTGGGGAAGGTGAAGAGCGCAGCCTGGGCCCCACCATTCTGCAGGCACCTCACAGGGAACCCTCTTCTCAGGGGTTGCAGACCTAGGGGCACAGAGGAGCACTTCAGAGGACAGGTCAGCTTTGGAAAGACAGGGACAGGTCGATATAAGTGGCCTCTTGAAGACTGGAGGGACTGATCAAAGAGGCTTAGGAAGGAGGCCAAGGTTGTGCCCCTTTGCCAACCAGTGGCTGTGGGGCAGTCTCTTTGCTCCCCGGAGAGACAGGACCAGAGATTGGACATAGGGATATGGCTAGTTCCCACTGGGCCAGAAATTCACAGTTTTGCTTAGAGAAAGGCAAGCTCAGGGTGTGACTGAGCACCCAAGATCCGTCCCAGGAAATGACACCTAGCCTGAGCTGCCAACAAGCACAGGGCATAGGCATGCTCAGTGCCCAGCCCCAGCCCCTAGAATTCCTCACCACTCCAATCCTGCACTGCACCCAGCTTCCTCTTTTCTTCCTGGCCTCTGGGCTGTATCTGCTGTGCCTCCACGTCCATGGCTGTCTCTGTGCAGGTCCATCACAGTCATTCTGGGCGCCCACAACATCAGCAAGCACTAGAGGACCCAGGATGTCATCCCGGTGAAAACAGCCATCCGCCACCCAAACTATCATCCCAAAGTCAATGACATCATGTTGCTGCAGGTAGGGCTCATGGCTCCCCTGGCTCTTGCACACCTTAAGCCTGGGGTTTCTCATCTCCTGTGACCTCCTTCCTGTCGTTCCTCCCAGTGTGACCCCTTTCCTTGTCCCAGGGCTATGACTGTCCTGGAGTCCCTAGGGCCTTGCTCAATGAGAACTCCTGTCCTCTGCCTTCAGTTGCAGAGGAAGGCCACCCTGACTGCCGCTGTGAGCCTCCTCAGGCTGCCCAGGAGGGGAGAGCAGGTGAAGCCAGGGATGGTGTGCAGAGTGGCCGGCTGGGGACGACTCGACCTGAACACCAGCACAGACACTCTGCATGAGGTAGAGCTGGGAATCCAACAGGATGAGCAGTGCATCTCTTGCTACAGATGCGGTTACAACAGAACCACAGAGATCTGGGTGGGGGACCCAGAAATGAATCAGTCTACTTTTAAGGTGAGTTCTCCAGCATCGTCCATGCCAAGCCCTGGGCACAACCAAGTTTGCAGGCAACCTGGCGCAGTGGGATCTAGCCATATCCCTATGTCCAATCTCTGTTACTGTCTCTCCGGGGAGCAGAGAGGCTGTCCCACAGCCACTGGTGGGCAAAGGCTTCCTAAAGGGGGAGAAAGACCATCAGAGTCAAATGGAAAACCCCAGACCTAGGGAGGAGACAAGGCCTGCCCTGACCCTGATCTCCCATGCAGCTCCTAACAGGGACCACACACCCCAGGACAACTAGGAGGGCAGGCCAGGGGAAGGCTCAGCTCAATGTCTTCTCTCTCTGCCCACAGGGCGACTCTGGGGGCCCCCTCGTGTGTGACCACATGGCCCAGGGCATTGTCTCCTTTGGGAAAAAATATGGGAAAACTCCTCATGTTGAAACTAAGATCTCCAGCTTTCTGCCCTGGATAGAAAGAACAATGAGACGTTTCAACTGCAGAGACCAGACTGAGGCACTCGGAACTGATCTATTCGTCTCCTCTGGGGCGCAGCCCAGAACTGCCCTGTGCAGAGGGGTTGACGGGAGGCTGCCAGTCTCCTAAAAAACTTGCATCTCTAGAGTGGAAGTCACTGATTCCTCCTGTGTTCACCAAAACATGTGTTAGTTACCTGCTGTGTGTGTGGCAATCATCTGTTCATATCTCCTATCTGTTAGCACTTCCCCTTCATGGACCGCACTTTCCATGTCTAGAATAAAATTCATGCTGCCTTGCTACCCACTCGTTACCAATACTCCTCCCAGTGCCAACTCCCCTGCGAGGCCTAATGTCAGCTCCATCAGGAAAAGGGGAGACATCTGCCCCCCAAAAGTGACCCTCTTCTAGGGGACCCTCTTAACTCATCCACATTGCCCTCCTACTTCAAGCCACACCTACACCCTACCCCACGCAGCCCCAATGCCAATATGCAGCATAAAAGAATCCGAAAATTGGATGGAGGGTCCTGTAAGAAGCTCTCGGGTAAGGGGCCACTTCTCCACCCAAAGATAAATTCCTGGGAAGATCATGGAAAGGTATAGCTCACCCCATGCAGCCCTCTCCCCACCAATCAGAGAAGGTCAGGAAGCCTTTCATTACTCCCAGGCCCAGCTCCAGTGCCTGGCACAGCCCTGTCTTGAGCCCAGAGCCCAGTGCAGCCCCTGGTGTCCTGGCAGCCCACCCATCAGCAGCCAACACTGACATTGAGGGTGCTCTTTCATCTCGGTCTCAGCCAGCCTCTCTCCACCTCCCATTGTGTGTGTGTGTGTGTGTGTGTGTGTGTGTGTGTGTGTGTGTGTGTGACTGTCTGTCTGTCTCTGTATTGAAAGGCAACCCAAATCTTTATTATATGACTAGGTTAAGAACAGGAATCTCATGTTAAAACATACAACTTCAGAAGGGAGGCTAAAAAGAAGTACTTTACTAAACATCTGCCATTGATAGGTGTGCTTCCACTTTGGGAAAATGTTTTTGGGTATAAAAAGTAGTACATATTCATCACAGAAAAATAGTTAAATGTGGAACATGTAGATAAGAAAATGAAAATTACCAAGGCCTCCACCACTCAGAAAGCATCATCACTGGTCCTTCGGCATGTTCTCCCACACTTCCTCTATGTGTTCATCAGGTGCTGCTCCTTGCACAGAACTGGGGTTGGGCTGTTGAGAACTCCTAGTGCCTCCCTTTCCATTGCTCTTCCTGCCGTGGTCACACTGGTGAGAGTGTTGGGATAATGTGTTTGTAAATGTATGTAACTGCTAGGCCAGGGACATCAGAGACGGGGTTCTCTGGACACTAGAGCCAATGAACAAAAGTCTAAGACTTCTGTTCAAAATGGTGGGGTATGAGAAGCCCCCTGTGTCATATAATACTGACATTTACAAAGGAGATTCTAAATATTCCAAAAATAAGAAATTGGAGTGGTGGTAAAAGAGGAAAGGGAGCTATCATTTGGAGTATTTGGGTGTGTGCAGGCCACCTGGTCCTCAGGCGAGTCCACCCTCTACCTCTCACACCACCGAGCACACCCCTCCCCATTGCTCTTCCCTTCTCATACCTCAGCCACAGATTCTCACTGCAGCCGATGTCAGCTTCTCAAGGGCAGAAGCCACACCTCTCATATGCCTGGACCTGGCCTGTTAAATGATTATTCATGATTTCATCAGAATGGAAAAGAGCCAGGAGCCCAGACATGGAAACAGGCTTGGTGTAGTCACTGAGGGACTTCTGAGGTTCCAGCCCCCTGCTGGTTGCAGCCAAGGCCCTCATGTTCTTATTCCTTCTTCTTGCACCTTGTAGCTTAGCAGTAGGAGTGCAAATGTGGCGACAGTGCCATTGTCACCAAACCAAGCTTGAGAACTTCCACAAACACCTGGTGTGATGACACCCAGCAAAACTAGAGGGGCGCAGTCAAGGAGGTGCGGGAAGTCACTGAGCCACACTCACTGCTCCCCTCAGGGGTGTGTGTCTAGACACAAGAAATACCAGCAGCTCTGACCTGGGCAGGCCCTTGGGAAAGATGCAGCCACTCCTGCTCTTGTTGGTCTTTCTTCTGCCTCCCTCCCTCCTCTAGGCTGGGACTGGTAAGTGACCATCCCCATTCCAGAAACCTGAGACACTCCCCTACCCCCATCAAACCCCCTGTCCTTCTGACCCTTCTGCCCAGCACAGGCAGAGACTTTTCCTCCATTTGCGCCCAGGAATTCTGAATGCCTGGTCCCATCCCACCCCAGATTAACAAGTCTGATGCTGGATAGACACTCAGCAAGGATGGCCAGGAGGAAGGTGTGCACTAAAAAGTTAAGCAGCTATTAGCCTCTCTCTTACCACTTAGAAAATGAGTTTTGTGGAGAAAAGCGTTTGACAAAAGATGTGAAGCTACAAATCACATTATTAAAACCCCTCACTCGCTCTAACCGGTTTGGCCCTGTGGATAGAGCACCGGCTTGCAAACTGTAGGGTCCCAGGTTTCATTCTGGTCAAAGGCACATGCCTGGGTTGCGGGCTCCATCCCCAGTGGGGGGTGTGGAGGAGGCAGGCAATCAACAATTGTCTCTCATCATTGATGTTTATATCTTTCTCTTCCTCTCCCTTCCTCTCTGAAAAATCAATAAAAATATTTTTAATTAATTAGTTAGTTAATTAATTAATTAAAACCCCTCACTCCGACCCAGAAAAGGGCACCTCAGACAAACCAGCTACTGTCATGGAAGCTGGATCCTGCTTAAGAACCACTTAAATTTCTCAGGAGGTGTAAGTTGGCTGCGGTCTCTCACCTTCCACTACAGTGAGCAGGTGTCACAACAAAGTTCTCTGGCACAAGAACACACCACACCTGGTCTCCCCCTCATCTTGAAAGTGAATGCAGGGGGAAAAAATGGCGGAGGTTTAGACGGACGTGTTGGTGCCTTGTCCTGGAGCAGATAAGGGCGAGCAGCTGAAACAGGTAACATACAGCCTGAATAATCAGAGGAGATTCAGCTGAGAGACAGTCTGCAGCCAGGAAAGACAGAGAACTCCTTGAAAAAGGGAACGGTTAGAGATTGAGGCTGAAACCTCACCCAGAGCGACCGGCTCAGCCACGGAGACCGCGCCATCTTGAGTGGCTGTTACCGGCATCCAGAGATCCACTACTAACCCGGAAGCAAAGGCTCTCAAGCAGCGCGACTACGTGAACTCAGAGGAGACCTGCTTCCCTCCACAGAAAGGTTAGACTTCCCCCAAAGGGGCGGTTTGCAATTTAGGTTGGAGAGTGGAACGCGCGTGGGGGTAAATCTGTGCTCCACAAAGTCTGCAGCCGTTGAGGCCAGTGTGACCCATGAGTGTGGAAGGGCTCCCCCAGGGCTGCTGGCAGAAGGGAACGCTATAAATAAGCCCACAGTTGGACTGGATGCAAACGGGCAGCCTCAGATTTTGCCAGTCTGCTGGCTACTTGGTGCCAGGGGCCAGAGCGCATGCAGAGACTCCGTGCAGATCTGGAAGGTGGAGCCCTGCAAGATCACACAGCTTCCCAGGCTCTTGTTTTTACACTTCCTCTTAAATCTGTGAGTTTGATTGTTGAACCCAGTGTATGGGATTACCCAGTTGGGGTCACTCACAGAGCCTGTAGGGGAAGGTTGCTTTTGGGGAGCCTGGGAAACAGAGAGGGAGTGACGACTGGGGAACCAGCTCTGGGCGGAGGACGTTCCCAAGCCAGTTTCAGGTACAATAGAGAACTCCTGGTCAGAGAGGACTTATAGCCTCGGAGGTCAACCCAGACACACTGCCACCCAGAGGCAGAGCTACGAACTGTCTTTTCTGTAAATACAGATAAAGGCAGTCTGAGGAACCAATACGGCCTGCCTTAAAATCAGGACTGTAGCCTACAACACGGAGGAACAGTATATTGGAGGGAAATTCAACATTCTCCTGAATACCTTTCATGCCAAAAAGAAGAATAGAAGATCTGAAGCACCTTCATTACTGCACATTTTTAATTATTTTTTATAATTTTTTCACCTTTTAACTAAGAAACCATTTTTTTTCTTATTTCATCACCTGATTTTACCCTTTTAATTACTACATTTTTATTTTTAACCAGTATTATTACTGCTACCATTTTACCATTTTTAAAGTGTCACTTTATTTTCTCTTTATTTTATTTTGGGACTAGTGTTCTCCATTCTATTTTCATCATTCCTTTAGCATCATTTTTGTCTACCTCAATTTTGCCTCTTTGCTAAAACCCTCTTCCCCACTTTTCCCCTTTTGTTGTCCTGTTTCTCTTACCCTATTCCTGCTTTAGATTTTCCCTATTCTTTTTACCCCCTGTCTAAATTTTACCCTACTTATATATCCTATTTCCAATCCCCTGCTCTAAATTCTTACACACCTCTCCCTTATCTTTCTTCACTATCCAAATTTTTTTTCTTCTTTTCTCTCTCTACTGTTTTGTTGTTGTTTGCTTGATTGTTGAGTATATTGGGGTTTTTTTTAGGATTGTTTGTGAGGTTGTTCTGCTTTTTCTTTTTCTGTTCCCCACCCCCCCCCCCCCCCTGGTTATTTTTGTGCTTCTGTTTTCCCTTGCCTAACTTGATATTATTGGTTGTTTGTAGTTTGTATTCATCTCCAGGGATCCGTTGATGGAATTTGTTCGGATTAGTGGCGGTTCTATCAGAGTTTTCTCCTCATATAAATAGTCTTCTCCCCTCTTCTACTTCATTCTCTTTTCTCTCTTACTTTTTTTTCTGTTTTTCTCTTCTAACTTTTTCTCTTCTTTCTCCCTTATCCCATAAATCTCTTAGCTGGGGTAGCCACCTTTATTTCGGGATATTAATACCATAAATACATTTGTGTTAGGCCTGGTATGTTGTGCCTTGTTGTGTTGTATTTTGTGCCTTTAAATTAAAGCAGCAGATCCAAGCAACAGCGGCCTCCTGATCACCACACTCTCTGTCTGAGGAACAGTTGCTGTGTGTGAAGCCTCCCTCCACCAGCCAGAAGAGCCACCACAGCTGTGAACTGCACCCACCAGAGGACCTGCTACCAACGGAGGAGCAGCTGCTACCACAACCGCCCAAGGAGCATCCACAGCCCAAAGAGCCACTGCCACCCAGGGAGCAGCCACTGAACGACACAACAAGTAGATAGGTCAGTGAGATCAAACATGTGTAGACAAAGAAACCCTTAAAGGAAAGAAAAGGAAGGATCACCAGAAAAGTAGCTAAGCGATACAGAGGCATGCAACATGACAGAAAAAGAATTCAGAATAAGGGTTCTAGAGTACATGCACCGGACGGAGGAAAAAATCAACAACTTATGCAAGAAGCAAGAAGAAACAGATGAAAAGAAGAATAATTTATGTAAGACCCAAGAAGAAATGAAGAGCGATATAGCTTCAATAAAATACACCATTGAAAGTATCAACAGTAGACTAGGTGAAGCGGAGGACTGAATTAGTGAATTAGAAGACAAGGAAGCAAAACACACCCAAACTGTACTGCAATTGGAGAAAAAAATTAAAAGACAGGAGGAGAGTCTAAGGAAGCTTTGGGACAACATGAAACCAAACAACATACGAATAATAGGGGTGCCAGAACAACAGAAAGATGAACAAGGATTGGAAAACCTATTTGAAGAAATAATATCAGAAAACTTCCCTGAGGTGGGGAAGAAAAAAGTCACACAAGCCTAGAGAGTCCCAAACAAGGAGAACCCGAAAAGACCCACACCAAGACACATCATAATTACCATGGCAAATGTTCAGGACAGAAAGAGAAACTTACAGGCTGCAAGAGAGAGATGGAAAGTTACATACAAGGGATCTCCAATTAGATTATCAAATGATTTCTCAACAGAAACACATCAGGCCAGAAAAGAATAGACAGAAATCTACAAAGTGATGCAAAGCAAAGGACTGAATCCAAGAATACTCTATCCAGCAAGGCTATCATTCAAAATTGAAGGGAAATAAGAAGCTTCACAGACAAAAAATGGCTAAGGGAGTTTAACACCACCAAGCCAGCAATGCAAGAAATGCTAAAGGGACTGGTGTAAAAAGAAGAAATAAAAAGCTCAGAAAGAAAACAGCCACACAAAAAAAGAAATGGCTACAAACAAGTACCTTTCAAGAATAACTTTAAATGTAAACGGACTAAATGCTCCAACCAAAAGACGTCGAGTGGCTGAATGGATAAAAAATCATGACCCATACATTTGCTGTCTACAAAAGACCCACCTCATTAGAAGGGACTCACACAGACTGAAAGTGAAGGTATGGAAAAATATCTTTCAGGCAAATGGGAATGAAAAGAAAGCTGGGGTAGCAATACTTATATCGGACAAAATAGACCTCAAAGTGAAGGCCATAACAAGAGATAAGGAAGGCCACTCCATAATATTAAAGGGATCAATACAACAAGAAGATATAACCCTGGTAAACATATATGCACCCAATGCAGGAGCACCCACATACATAAAAAAAAACTCCTGGAAGATATCAAAGGAGAGATCGACAACAATACATTCATTGTAGGGGACTTTGATACACCACTGGCATCACTGGATAAATCCCCTAGACAAACACTCAGCAAAGAAACAGCAATCCTAAATGACTCACTAGATCAGATGGACTTAATTGACATCTTCAGAACACTTCACCCCAAAGCCACGGAATATACATTCCACTCAGGTGCTCATGGGACAGATTCAAAAATAGACCACATATTGGGTCACAAGCAAAGTCTCCACAAATTCAAGAAGATTGAAATCATAAAAAGCATCTTCTCAGACCACGATGGCATAATGTTAGAAATAAACTACAATAAAAACAACCCAAAATACTCAAACACTTGGAAGCTGAATAGCATGTTATTAAATATTGATTGGGTTACCAATGACATCAAAGAAGAAATTAAAAACATCCTGGACACTAATGACAATGAAAACACAACAATCCAAAACCTATGGGACACAATGAAAGCAGTCCTGAGAGGGAAGTTTATAGCTCTACAGGCCTATCTCAAAAAACAAGAAAAAATGGTAGTAAATCATCTAACTCTTCAACTCAAAGAATTAGAAAGAGAGCAACAAGAAAACCCCAGAGCGAGCAGAAGGAAGGAGATAATAAAGATTAGAGCAGAAATCAATGACATAGAGACCAAAAAAACAATACAGAAAATCAATGAAACCAAGAGCTGGTTCTTTGAAAGGATAAACAAGATTGATAAAACTCTAGCCAGGCTCACCAAGAAGCAAAGAGAGAGGACCCAAATAAACCAAATCAGAAACGATAGAGGCGAAATAACAACAGACCCCACAGAAATACAAATAATTCTTAAAAAATACTATGGACAAATCTACTCCAACAAACTAGACAACTTGGAGGAAATGGACAAATTCCTAGAAAATACAACATTCCAAAAATCAATCAGGAAGAATCTAAAAATCTCAATAGGCCAATAACTATGGAAGATGTTGAAGCAGTCATCAAAAAGCTTCCAGCAAACAAAAGCCCAGGGCCAGACGGCTTCACAGGGGAGTTTTACCAAACATTCAAGGAAGAACTAAAACCTATCCTCCTCAGACTACTACAAAAAATTCAAGAGGAAGGAACACTTCCAAGCTCATTCTATGAAGCCAACATCACCCTAATACCAAAACCAGGTAAAGACAACACAATGAAAGAGAATTACAGGCCAATATCCCTCATGAACATAGATGCCAAAATCCTCAACAAAATCTTAGCAAATCGGATCCAGCAGTAAATCAGAAGGATCATACACCATGACCAAGTAGGATTTATCCCAGGGATGCAAGGATGGTACAACATCCGTAAATCAATAAACGTGATACATCACATAAACATATTGAAAGAAAAAAACCACATAGTCATATCAATTGATGCAGAAAAAGCATTCAACAAAATCCAACACCCATTTTTGATAAAAACTCTCAGCAAGGTGGGAATAGAAGGATCATACCTCAACATAATAAAAGCCATATATGACAGGCCCACAGCCAACATCATACTCAATGGACAAAAACTAACACCATTTCCCCTAAGAACAGGAACAAGACAGGGATGCCCACTCTCACCACTCCTGTTCAACATAGTCCTGGAAGTATTAGCCATTGCAATTAGGCAAGAAGAAGAAATA